ATGTAACTGCGAATATCAGTTACCACTATTTTTGGCTAGCTGACACTATTTTACTATATGCAACTGAGAATTTTCAGTTGCCACTTTTTCCGACTATGTGTAACTGCGATTTTTCAGTTACGACCTTTTTCGGCTAGCTAAACTTTTTCTATTTCACTTTAACTTTTCACTGTGTTCTGCTACTAGTCACTTCAGCTACTACCGGATACTACTGCTTGTTACTGGTAGTTCTTCCTACTACAATGTTACTGTGATTTGCCCCCATAAGGTAGACTTCGGCTATACTCTATAGATAGCCGCTTGCCAATTTCCGGTTTTGCCTTTTTATTATCAAACATTTTCATTACGTAATTTGCACAAATCGCAATTTTTCTATATAATGCTAATTTTTACATTAACACGCTATACACTATAAAAGAGGCATTTTGGTCCTTTATCATTATGTCATAAGGGTTACTTGATATATTTACATTCAAAAAAGTTATTAATCAAAATGTACCTAATTTACATTACAAAAGTGCACATTAAATCTTTAATTTTACTATATTTCTCAAATGCGTCTATTTACATAAATTATCTATTTACTTATTTCAATCTATACACCATATGCTAACTAAATATCGTATTTACAATTCTTTCAGACCATAAAAATATTCTCATTATTTTCATATAAACTATTGCGCAGTTAATTAACTTCTAGAAAGTTCCACGATATGCTGCGCTGTGATTGGTCGAAATTTTATTTAATGTTTAAAGTCGTTTATATCAACTTATTATTAAAACGATACTTTATACAAATATATTACGAGTTGTAAACATACTGTAAAACTATATTGACACACAATTCGCGCGATTTTACTATTAATTTCACTTTTTAAACAATTTAATATTCTTTAATCACTTTTTGCTTAAAGTCTTTAAAACCGTCGCGAACAATAAGACTGTTAATTTGATAAAAAAGTGATAAAAATTGTTGATTAATTACAATTAGAATCTAGTTTTTGTTACATTGTAAACCTGGCACTGTATCTGTCAGGACACATACTTTTTATAATGTAAATTGTTGCTTACCTGGCAGTGTGCACTGCAGGATACGTTCAATAAAAAATATCTAAAAGCAAAAGATTTTTTTAAATATTTTATTTACATAATTAAACACCCTGATTGAAAGAAAAACAATAAAATAAGAAAAAAATATCTGCCAAGTAAAGGGTTAAAGATGCAAAGCGCAATTTAAATATATAAGGGCAAATTAAACTTGATATCGAAACTTAATTTTAAAGTTGAGATAACGCATAATTAATTGTAACAAACTTGTGGAACAGTAACATCCGGTGTCACCTTGAAGTCAGACGGCATGAAAACTGCGCTTTGTTTTAATATATACCTAAAAAAATCATGAAAATGTTACATTAACAATTGTTAAATGAAACATTATAAATAATTACACCTGCCACTAACCACTTAATAATAATAACGAATCAGAAATTTATTTATAAAAAATCTGATTGAAATCTACTATTGTAACAGATTTTCTTTTATTTGAGTAAGTCATATTAATCAAAGCTTACTTTGTTGTTGGAAATTCAAAAGAATCTGAAAAATTAATTCAACTTTCAAACGCGAAGTTTTTTCATTTGTTATTTATATTCACGAATAATTTTAATATCCGAAAATCTGACTTAATAAAGAATTTTCATTAATTCGTTCATTACATCCTACCAGAAGTTTACAGCTGAACGTAGGCCTCCCCACTATATTGCTTCAGGGAGATATTTGCTGTAGGCGGGATGGGTTTTTATTGTTAACTTTATTTTTATTATTATTAGAAAGATGTCGCTGCCCGTGCTCCGTTCCAGTATCCCTCTGTCGCATCTTACGACGACACGGCAAAACAAAGACCTAATAAAATTTAATTTCTTTTATTTAACTACTAGCTGTTACCCGCGCATGGTCACTGGGAAATGAACTATCCATTGCTTTTTAAATTGAAAGAAAACTGAGTTTTATAGATTTGTCAGAGATGCAGCCATTAAAAGGAAACTGAGCAAAATTGATTCGACAGCCTATTTAAATGTTTTGAAACGCAGCGTATAGGAAAGCATGAAAATAGCCTGTTTATTCCAAATGAAAATGGGATATTTTTTTAATTAAAGGAGACTGAGTATAATTATCCGTCAGGGATGCAGACTTTTGAAAATAAACTAAGCTAAATTGATTCGTCAGAGATGCAGTTTTCTGAATTGAAATGAAACTGAGCCAAATAAAAGATCCATTAGAGATGCAGCCTTTTGAGTTGAAAGAAAACTGAGCTTAATAGGTCCGTCAGAGGTGCAGCATTTGGAATTGAAAAGAAACTGAGCTAAATAGGAAATTTTGAATTGAAAGGGAAGATCTGTGGGAATTCTGATTATTTGATTGTGGGAATTTAGGAAAAAAAACTAACTGAACACTATTTTAAGACGCTACTGTACACAATGTTATATGTTTTTCCATTCGGGGAAAGAATGTGGAGATTCTGGGCATTTGACACACGCGAACATGCTACATACAGCTGACCATGAGAGAAGCACGGTTTTTCTAATTTGACCCCCGCTACCTGTAACGTGTGCTCTTGCGCTTTATTAATTGTCATTGCAAAACTGAGCTTAATAGGGAACTGCAACCTTTTGAATTGAAAAGGAAGATCTGTGGGATTGTAGGGATCCGTGGTATAACAACATTTTCACCTTTTCCTACGCCTGTCAAAATTGTAGCACCGATTATGTTCCGTCAAAGATGTGTCACACGCAGCCTTGTCCCGTTACGTAGCCGAGGAGCATCTAAATTTTGCATTATCACTGTGACGCCTAATTTTAATTGAAGCTTATGTGAGGTTACACCTGACAACTCTAAAGAATTTAGAAACTCTACGGGATATGAAGTGCTCTGCTCTGTGTCCATAACTGTATCTTCTGACAAATACTCTGTTATTTTTCCTGCTACTTCGCTTAATATATCTGAATTTATTTTGTTAACGCTCTCATTTTTTGGTGCAAGAATCGCCCTTTCACTTAACCATTTGTTTTTATGCATGTTGTTCGTTAAATCTGAATAAACGCTCGCAATTAATTCGGAATGACTCTGTATTAAATTACAAAAATCTCTCGTCAATTTAAAGCAGCTCTTAGCATCCGTTTCCAACCGCCCATCGCCAATTCTTAATAGTGTGTCAGCATAGTTTCCAGCAGTGATATCATTATACAAATGCACTCTCATATTCGTAGTTAAACTGAATTTTGTCACCTTGTTCCATAAAATCACGACTTGAGGCATGCTTCAATTTCATCTGCAGGTGTGCCCTTTTGAATGACAGTTAAAGTTTGGCGAAAGTCACCACCCAGTAAAACCACCATTCCTCCCATTACATCGGTATTGCTGCGCAAATCCTGGAGCGTTCGATTTAGTGCTTCTACAGCTTTTTTATGCGACATTGTACTTTTGTCCCACACTAAAAGTTTGCATTGTAGTAGCATTATACCTCGTGCACTATTTTTGCTAAAGTTGCAGATCGACAATTCTTCCTGGGCTAGATTTAGAGGGAGTTTTAAAACATAATATGCAGTGCGGCCCCCGCTTAGCAGCGTGGCGGCTATACCGGAGGAAGCTACAGCCACAGCAATGTTTTTATCTTTCCGTACCTGCACTAATTATAAATTTAACAATAATGTCTTCCCAGTTCCTCCAGGGGCATCTAAAAAGAAAAGTGCACCATTTCCAGATTCAATTTGTCCTAATACTTTGTCAAAAACTCGTTTTTGTTCGGGAAGAAAGCGGGGTACAAATTCGGCTACTTACTGCTGCAAATATGGTATATCGTAGTTTGTTTCACGTATAATTTCATCACTTAGTTCATTTTCGGTTGTTTGCTGAGGGCTTATCATTCTAAAGTCGCTTAATTTTTTGCTTACTATTGCCATTACTTTAACTTCAATTTTTCCAAATGCTTCATTATAAATGTGTTCATTGTATGTCATGTTCGCGTGTGTCTACTGTAACCTTCGCAAAATATCTTCCGCCATGTACTCTTTGTATTTGTCCCACAATTCATGTGCATTAGATAGCCCGCAAGATGATATGAGAGTTGCATGAAGATCCCTAATTTTGGCTGATGACTGGCACTGCATAGTTTCCTCCATGGTTTCATCCCAGTGATTATCGTTTTCTAAAAGATGCAGAGCTTCACATGCTTCTCTATAAGTTGCGCATTCCTGACCATTGACTGTTTTAAGGTCTTTATATCGTGTAGGACCCCGAACATGGTGCAGCAGTAATCGTAAACAAAAACATTCAAAATTAGTTACATGGACAATATACACACGACCAAGGGCATCTGATGTCTTTACACCGGGCCAATTTGTAACAGACGCGCCTTGAATACGGCGTTTCCACTCCTTCCTAGATGTGTTCCAAGTATAATAGCGGGGGACTTCAGAATATAACAACATTTTTGCAAAGGGGTCGGTTTGACAAAGTTGAAAGAAGGCTGTTAGTGTCGTTTTTGGCGGTAATGCAATTCTTTCTTGGAAATTTCTTTCGGTGAAATACACACGCTCTCCATTTTCTAAGTGCACAGCAAGGTGAGTAACTGTTGGGTGCCTTTCGTGTAAAGGGAAGCCAAGGAGACGCCACGCTGCCTCGTTACTGCTGACATAACGCCCTGCTTGAAAGGTCTGTACTTCATTAACGGGATTTGCCTCACCTTCACTCCTGAGATTAAATATTGCTTGGTCGCTTCCTTTATTTATGTACTTACAGATATACTTGATTGCGTGGACAGAGCTACATGCTTCTACATTAATGTGGGCACTAAACATTTTACATAGAATGGGCGAATACGGGACAATCCAGCTGTTATCTAAGGTTTCGAACGCTCCAGAGCGAGATTTGATTGTAACTTTCCTGCCACCATCTTCGGGAGCTCTGCGTCTGTATAAAGGGTTGCCATTGTCATTGTGCACTGTTTCTTTTAATAGCTGTTTAGGGAATTTTTTTGTACATTTTCCTTCTTTTATACATGGCGATATTGAATTTCGTGCTCCACATGGACCGTGAATCATATTTCGGACGATGGTATCATACAATTCTTTATCTTGCCCAGGATCCGGAATCTCGGCGCTTATTATGTCGTCTATTTGGCTGGGCTGCAACTTCTCTTTAAGCCATATTAGAATGTGGGTATGCGGTAATCCTCTTTTTTGCCATTCAATTGAATACATGAGGCACTGCACCTCTCCAAAATTTTTCCCTTTGTTAATTACATACATTAATTTTTGTACTTTTAATCTAAATACTCTAGCAACTAAATCGTGTCTGTCAGTACTTTTCTGGCCCGGCATTATCTCCTCGGTTATTTCTTTCCATGTGGGATTGCAAGTAAAAGTAACAAAAAGATCAGGTCTTCCGTAAGTTCGTACATAGGCGAATGCGTCTTGTGTGTACTCATGTAGGTAGCGGGGACTGTTAACGAATGATGAGGGCAGAATTACCATTTTACCTAAATCTCTGGGGTTTACATTGGCGTCGCTAGAAACTTCATCTTGTAAATGTATATAATTCTCAACGCGCAGCTTTTTTTGATTTAAAGATATATAACGGAGACGTTCACTTTCTACCTTCACATACATGTCTACCAAAAATTTATGAAATAATTGTCTACACCGGGCTAAGAAGTTAAAATCATTTTCTCCCAACATCATATGATACGCATAAAAATCCATACATGATACTTTTTTGTTCGGAGTAGGCTCCTTTGTGACCGGGTTAATGAGTGGAATTTGAAAATGATAACCCTCTTGTCCTTTGCAATAAATCAATGGGTATTGCAGAGCGTCATAAAACTTGTGTGTATCGGCTACCCGTTGCAACGTATTGTAACGAACGAAAGTGTAAGGCATCACCACCAATTGCATGGTCAGCACGCCTAATTGGCCGCAGAGCGTGTCATGAGTCTACCGCTCACCTCAAGGGAATGGGGTCCCACGTTGCGCGGCTTTCGGCCGCAGCCTTGAGAGCCTCCTCAGATTCTCCCTCCAGCTACCACCCGCATGAGGTCGACACATTTGCTCCACCAACTAATACAATGGCAGATATAGCCAATAGGCAGTTATAAGGTAATATTAATAATTCGCCATCAGAAAGGGTTTGTGTCACTGACGTTGAGTATATGCATTTTTCGATCATGTTTATCTCACCCACCAAGTTGTCTTCAATCTCTCAAAGGTGGGAACTTTATAGAGATATATTATTAAGTTGTTATATAAAACATCATGGAGGACAGACAGTCTGCAGCCCCGCAATGAAGGGACCCGACTTGGGCAAAGCTACTTAGATTGTGAGTCAAACCAAGACGCAAAGAGCGTCATTGAGAATAGCGACCCGCCAAACAACCATCGCAGAGACGCAATGATGCAGAATACAACAAGCATCAATACGACTATCGTCGGGCTTACACCATCCCAAGGTCCCCCGTACAGTCCCAGCAGACATCACCACCCGCATACCTCCATCGACCAGAACCACAAGATGTGTCGAATCAGGTGCAGCACACCCGCAGATCCATTACAAGACACAATACTGCAAGTAGCAGTAAGCATCAATGCAACCATCATACGGATGGCGCCCACATGATCCCTATCGACTTTGGTAACAAAATTGATAATGTTGTTAACTAAAAATACCACCAACGTATCATAGTAGCACGGTACTCAGACGTCAGTAGCCAAAACTCCACGTATCATAGCGCTATTGCACTAAGACATGAAGTTGAGTATGCTTGCTGCACTTAAAAGTACTACCAAACACACTCACCCTAATCCGAAAGATAGCCGACGTATCATAACGCTATCCGCTAAGACGCCGCCCACAAACGGTAGGGGTGTGCGATGTCCACGGGCAAGTCGTATTGCTACAACAAACCCGCTTACCACCGGCACTAAGATGATATGTCTAGGACACATCGGTTAGTGAGTCCAAGTTTACCTCGGTCTCAGAGGCTGCGAAGCAACCTACACGCCACTATCATAATCCTTTTCAAGTCCCATTTCTTTCAATATATAATGCTTTTACATATTTGAGACCTTCCACATATTTGCTTTATTTCATAGACCATACTACTGTATGTCTTATTCATATGGGACTTCAAGTCATAACTATGCTATCATAATGCTTATGCATCATAGAGACCTTCTATATTAATGCTTTGGTTCGTTAGACCTTACTATGATAAGTCCCTAATATAGGACTAGTCATTGTGCAACCTTAGTACTAGCAGTCGGTCAGCCGACCACCCCATATGTACAACCTTGGGTATGTGTCTCCGGCAACGCCCCAATATAAGGGAACATTACAAGAACACGTTCATCAACTTCAATCCATTTTTTCTATAATATTACAAATGTTATTTATCTTTGTTATTGCAATATAATCGCCTTGTATATGATTTGATACATTTTGAACATTTTAAGCAAGTTTTTAATAAATTTAGAGATTTTTAGAGACATTTTATGCGTTTACTAATATTATAATATTCAATATTCCAAATGGATATTTTTGAACTTTATGCTTATTATTTGCATTTAATTGTTTAAATAATAATTTCTATGACATTTTTAAATGTCTGTATAATGAATTTAATTATTATTTATTAATAATAATTATGAGGCGTCACAGTATCATCACGTGCTCGCAAGACAATGTCTTATGAAGAAAATTGATCACCACTAATAACGGCTGCTATTTCGTTTATCAAAGGTGCATTGTAGCGCCTTTTATGCTCTCCTCAAGGGGTCTGATCTGCGTGAATGACGACTTTATAATCCTCTTCAGGTAGGTTTTTCTAAAGCAGTTTTAAATGTTTTGACTAAAATGTTACGTTCATGCAAGAATCTTTGAATTTTGAACACTGTGTTTCTCTCAACTCCCTGGATAAATTGGCAGCGACGGTCTACCTCAATTTCTTTGTCACCCATAAAATATACTTGTAAAAATTTATGCTGTTCGTTTTCAGCTGGAAAAAGTGAACCTATTCTATGATAAATTTGCCCTTGAACTTTAAATGTAGACGAATATGCATTATTATTTCCCGGTCTTCCCGGATTAATATTTCTCATTTGAAAGCATGAGTTATATTTCCGGATCCTGTTTATAAAGCGCCGTGACTCATTAGCATCATATAAAAAGAGAGTTTTCAAAGGTTCTTCTGGTTCCCCAAGTAACGTTAGAGACACTTTACCATTGGAACAGCACATGCCTGCGGTCTCATCTTTCCATTTTAAAGCGCTGCAAAATCGACACGCCTTGTCCATCAGTCCGATAACAACTAACCTGTGATTTTTATAGTCAATCAACGGATCATAACTGAATGCTGCGTCATTAAAAACCGACCAATTGTTTCTTTGAAAATTTTGTCGACGTTCAGCTTGGAGCTGTGCATTTGCATCTCTTCGCGCCTGTGTCTGTTCTGGCGTTTCAGATGCCCTTATAGTAGATTGACGTTCAGCTTGCTCAATGAGTCTGTGTTGAGTTTCATCAGGTGTTTCCGCGGCTCTTAAGGCGGCCTGACGTTCCGCTTGTTCGAATAGCCTTTGCTGACTTTGAGCAGATGTTTCAGTAGCTCTTAAAATAGATTGACGCTCTGCCTGTTCAAGACGCCTTTGCTGACTTTGATCAGGTGTTTCAGTAGCTCTTTAAGTAGCTTGACGCTCTGCCTGTTCAAGACGCCTTTGCTGACTTTGAGCAGGTGTTTCAATAGTTCTTAAAATAGATTGACGCTCTGCCTGTTCAAGACGCCTTTGCTGTCTTTGATCAGGTGTTTCAGTAGCTCTTAAAGTAGCTTGACGCTCTGCCTGTTCAAGACGCCTTTGCTGACTTTGAGCAGGTGTTTCAGTAGCTCTTAAAGTAACTTAACGCTCTGCCTGTTCAAGACGCCTTTGCTGTCTTTGATCAGGTGTTTCAGTAGCTCTTAAAGTAGCTTGACGCTCTGCCTGTTCAAGACGCCTTTGCTGACTTTGAGCAGGTGTTTCAGTAGCTCTTAAAGTAACTTAACGCTCTGCCTGTTCAAGACGCCTTCGCTGACTTTGAGAAGGTGTTTCAGAAGCTCTTAAAGTAGCTTGACGCTCTGCCTGTTCAAGACGCCTTTGCTGACTTTGAGCAGGTGTTTCAGTAGCTCTTAAAGTAACTTAACGCTCTGCCTGTTCAAGACGCCTTTGCTGTCTTTGATCAGGTGTTTCAGTAGCTCTTAAAGTAGCTTGACGCTCTGCCTGTTCAAGACGCCTTTGCTGACTTTGAGCAGGTGTTTCAGTAGCTCTTAAAGTAACTTAACGCTCTGCCTGTTCAAGACGCCTTCGCTGACTTTGAGAAGGTGTTTCAGAAGCTCTTAAAGTAGCTTGACGCTCTGCCTATTCAAGACGCCTCTCCTGACTTTGAGAAGGTGTTTCGGAAGCTCTTAAAGCAGCCTGACGTTTTGCTTGTTCTTGCCTTCTCAGTTCAGCATCTTTTAAAGATTCTAGCGATCGAGCTAATCTTATCGCTTGTTTTTGAGAAGATACTCTTGAAAGGCTGGACTTACGTTTGCGAGGCATTATGAAGTAACAAAAAACCTATTTATAAAACAACGTTAAAATACCTAAAAGGAATTAAATTTTCTTTTAAATATTTTTTAAAATCAAACAACAAAATCAATTCAAGACACAACACGAATCCGAAAACGATAGCCAAAAAAAATCGAATCAACTTAAACTAAATCACAAAACAAATCGCAGAAAACCGAAATCGAAAGCAGTAGTCAATATAAATATAACCAACGAAAAAAGAAGTAAGTGTATAGGTACCGTATGCACTATCTATACTATTAATATTCCTTTGAAATATTGTTAAACAACCTAAAACAACGAAAACCAATTCACGATTCTAAATAAACAAAAATCAAAGCCAGAGTTTAAATATGTATAAAGGAAAGGAATACCAACCAAATCAACAAAACCGATCCAAAAAAATACACAAATCCAAAAATGAAAGCCAATATAAATCCATTCAACCTTAACCAAATCACAAAGCAAATAACAAACAACCTAAATCGAAAGCAGGTAGTCGAGTAAGCTACGAAATAGAAATAATTTAATCGTATAGGTACCGTATGCACTATAAGTTGACGCGCGGCTCAACGGCGGGGGTTAAGTACATGTCAGGAAACATTTCGTTACCGCGTTTTAAAAACTTA